TCTGGAAGTCAGGCCACACACCGAAACACCACACTGCAGAGGCCCAGGTCTGAGCCTGGACCCTTGGGCCGGCAGCCCCCTTCCTGGGAACTGGCCCCATTCGCTGAGTGACAGGTGCACAAGGCAATCTGCCATTGCTGCTTGTGATACTGAATTCCCATCCACAGGGAGCCCATGTGGATATTTCATTACCAGAACCCCAACTGCCAAGGTGAATATAGGGGGCAAAGTTTACAAGAGGAGAGGGTGAAAACAGTCTTACCTATACCGTGCTTTATCATTCTGCAAATGCCTTGGTACCTAGCAACAGTTATGGCATACTTGTGATACTGACCTCTCATAGGGATGATGATTAGGAAAAAAAAATTGTCTAAACAGCCTCCCAGAGGAATGGCAATAATGACCAAAAAAGGTTGAGAAAAATGTTCTAGAAAACTAGAGAAAAACTAATATCAGAGGGCAAAGTAGAAATGAGAACAAGAGTTTTGCTGGATCCTTTTAGCACTATTTTTTCAAACATGGACAGAAAACCTATATAAAATATATTTTTGATGTATTCTAAAATGTACATAAGAAAGAACGCTGGCACAAGCCCCCAGCGGGCATGTGGCATTTTGTTGGTGTCCTCTACAGGGAACCCTGTGCATTAAACTAGGTTTGGTGGCTTCTGATGATTTCTGACTGTACGAAAAGACAAAACGAGCTTCTGGATTTTGAAGGTAGGAGGTGGCTGCTTTTGTGGAAGGGCCGGAGGACGTAGGTGGGTTTTCTGGGGTGTGACAAGATTGCGTTGCAATACAGGCTGTAATTTTGGGAACAGTCCACTTGGGACATTCACAGAGTACATTACTGGTTTCCTGGTGAGCACCCATTTCAATATTTACATGTAGAGTGAAGTGTTCAAGTTCATGTAGTCAACACATGTCAGTGAGTACTGTTTAAGTACTTCGTATTCAGAGTAGAGAAGCGGACTTTAAAAGGAGCAGACTGATCCACAAGTACACTCTTACCCCCACGTGCACACACGCACACGCACACGCAGCGTGGGCTGCCTCAACCACTGACAGGGCTCCAGCCATCGCAAAGACCACATCCTTCCTCCCTGTGAGGTTTCTAGAACAGGGTCCAGGGTCAGCTTGGAGTCAGGTCACACCACTGCACTCATGACCCTCCTGTCTGTGGCTGAGTCCCCGAGGATGCTCGGGCACACCCAGCCCCTGAAGTCTGCAATGGATTTTGCAGCCAGTGACCTCAGAACCCCCAGGTTAGCTGTGGGGTCAACGTGGCTCCCGGGACATGTTTCCCAGGAACCCTGGAGAAAGTCACATCGGAGGCCCCTCGTCCAGTGCCTCTCCTGCTCGCCCAGCCTGGGTGGTAAAACGTGGCCGCGCACAACCTTACACAAAGGAAGTGGTCGGGGGATTGCACTGGGCACATTTTGGCGATGCCAGGCGTATATTAAATAGCTGCGCTGTGGAGAAGGCATGTGAAGCACACCTTCCACGAAGCCACGACCTCTCCACCATGGTCCTGCCCTGGGATTTGCATTCTTTGTGGCTGGCTGTGTCTAAAATGAAATACAGGGGCTGGGGGTTTAGCTCAGCGGCAAAGCGCCTGCCTGGCAAGCGCAAGGTCGTGAGTTCGGTTCCCGGTACCGGAGAAAAACCAAAAAAAAAATAAAAATAAAAATAAAAAAATAAAATGAAATACAGAGGACTCCCACCCCTGGGAAGCACATCCCCAAGGGGTGCCTGAAACCATCAACTATACTGAGAGCTCTGGCTCCTACCTTAGGCACAGTAAGAGATGGACAGTGGTAACTAATAATAAAATAGCCACTTAACAATATATTGTAATAAATGCGATTTCGAACTTATGAATTGCTTTCCTAAAACTTGTGAGTTGTTTATTTCTGGAATATTCCACTTAACGTTTTGGACTATGAATAATGGAAACCAAAGAAAGAAAGCCCAAGGCATAGGGGAGACTACTGGGAACCTTTTGTTCTCCTAAAAACTTGTCTCCTTCCTTTCAGCTCCTTCCTCCTTATTATTTATTTCTCAAAGAGAGATCTTTACAAAAAGTAAACTGGATCACGCTGCGCCACTGCCGGAGACCCAGAAACCCAGCCAGCACAGCCTGCTGCCTGATCGCATAGCCTCTACACCTGCTGTTCCCTCTCCCTGAAACACCCTTCCCTCAGACCTCCTCATGCGGCTCTGTCCATCTGCTGGTCTGCAGGGCCCCACCCCAGCCAGCCAGCCGCCTGCCCTCGCATCGTGCAAAGGTGTCTCCGCTGTCTGAAATCCACTTGCTCAGTTACCATCTTGCGTGCTAACATCCAGCGCCTCTACCAAAATGTACCCCACAAGGACAAGGGCTGCACTGCGCTATTTCAGAGAGACTTTGTGCAGGCGTCTTCAGCCCTTGCAGTGAGAATGCAGAGGCAGTGCTCTGCAGCTCCAAGGAAGAACAGGGCCCAGACAGCCAGGTCTATATGCAGGCATGTGGGCTGGCGGGTTGTGCAAAGGAGTGAGTGTATCTACACAGACATTCTTCGTCACAGGCCAGGTTTGGGGAAAAACAGCCAAATCCTGGGGGCTTCCCTGGACCCAGGGGAGATGCAAGTCAGGTTTAAAGATGGGTGTTTGCGCTCACGCCAGAATCAGAGGCCTCCCACATGCACCTGCCAACTGCTTGCTTCCTCTTCCAGTGGCAGAAACTTCCCAGGCTCTCACTGCTTCCCAGAAGAGACAGTATGCACAAAACCCCAAGGCAGACAGGGGCAGATGAGTTGTTGCCACAGTTTTAAGCCACGGAACCTTCTGCAGAGGATTCCTCCTAAAATCCCTCCTAAAATGGGGCAGTGCTCATGCAGACTGTACTTCATCGAGAGCAATCTCACTGCGCTCACAGCCTACGCATCCTCCTCCCTGACTCCTGCTGAGGGCCTGCCCCACACCGTGGGCCTGCCTGTGGCCACAAAGTTGCCGCCGGGGCTCCACGCTCAGCTGCCTCCTCTGTAACAGGAGCAAGCACATTTATGAACCTGTGGCTGCGACAGACATTCGTGACTACCTGGGCCGCCTGGACATTGGTGGCTCCCCACCCAAGGTGCTCATGGTTCATCGTCCACAGGGGATGAGGGACAGGATGGGAGGCTGCAATTTCTCATTCTGGGGGCTAAGGTAGCACCTGTCACAGACAGCTAGAGATACTCCTGCCCTGCCCAGACACTCATTCGGTCCTACAGCACCTTGCCTGCCACACAGTCTCTGGACACATGTGGGCACAGGTGCAGTTACAGCCTGGGCTCGCTGCTAGGCAGCCCCGGGCATCTTGAATTAGCTGCATTCTCTACGCTGATAGCTGCCTTCCAGTAAGCACCAAGACTTCATCTTAGCCATTTCGGATGCAGGTCATGGCAGGACCGATGGAGACACAGGTCTCCATTTAAAACAGAGCAACGGACCCTAGCTCACTCTGCTGGGTTATTCCAGCTCACACAAGTAATGAGTCACACAGCAACACTATCAGGTCAGCTGTGTGAGGCTCGCAGGGCAGGACGCTCTATACCAAGCAGCCCTCCAGGCCTCAGCGTGAGGAGCTTAGGGGGTGTTTTTGGTTGGTGGTTTCACTAGAGAGAGGACACAGAAACTACCAGAAGTCACAGAATCTCCAGATAACTTGGCTCATCGAGTCTCGGAGTAAAACAAAGATCCACAGCTTCTGAGTGAGCATTAAAGGATTTTCCTGGCACCCAAGTGTCTGAATGCGGCTTTATCATAACTATTGCAGGTATTTTGAAGCATCTCTCTGGCAAATTTCCTACTCCGGGGCTGAGTTCCTGAGAGTTAATTTCATTAAATAATTGAGTTTTCAGGGTAGAGATTGAGGATCCCTAATCTAAAAGCTCACAATGCTCTGAAATCCAAAACTATTTTTAGCACCAACATGATGTTCAAAAGATTTCAGATTTTGGATTAGTCTGGATTTCAGATTTTTTTAGTTGGGATGCTCAAGTGGTGAAGTCTTTACAAATACCCCCAAGCTGGAAACACTTCTGGTCCCAAGCACTTTGGAAAGGGGTGTTCAACTCCTGCCTGAGATGCTGCCGGCTTTGAAACTCGAGGCTGGGGCGGGCATCTGCCCGTCGGGGTTTCCTTCTCTTAAGAAACTCCCACCCCTTGCTTGCTTGTTTTCTGGAGCCCTCAAGAAAAGGCTGCTCGCCTGCCCGCTCCTCTCTGCCCTGCAGCTGTTCCTTGCTGATCTCAGGTGAGTCTGATCACCCCTGCTCCCCAGACCTAGATCAGAAGGTCACAGCGGCTCCAACAAGATGCATGCCGGCCACCCCTCGGGGCCTTCCTGCATCTTTCCCTGAGCCCGGCCACCCCTCCACTGGGCTCACTACAGCTGAAGCCCACTGCCACCCTGCCGTCAATGTGCTCTGTGTCCCTCCAGCCCACGGCAGGGAGCTGCTGCAAGCCCTATTCATGCTCCTGCGGACAGAGGCCTTTCAATGTGTGCACGCTCTCCTCCCCCCTCCCTCCTGCCCTCCCTCCTGCTCTCCCCGGAAAAGAGGGCTATGAAGTGGGGCTTTTCTCTACAGGAAGAGAGGAGGCTGGTTTTCCTTCCTTTTTGCTTTCCTGCCTTCGATCTAAATTTAGCAACTGGAACGAGGGTGGAAGCAGTGAGATGGACCCAGGTCATGGCCCAGGGGGACAACATGCCTATGGCCAGAATCGCCCTCTTTTGCTTTATCCACCCGGGTGCTACCAGGGGAGCTTCTAACACTGTAACCACCTACCCCCAAAGCTCCCGCTGGGAGATGTAGCTGCACAGCATCACAGGCTGTCTTATTCAAGTCCCTAAATTAAATGGGAACCCTGAGGACCAAGAGGTTGGGGAGTATACTGTACCGAAACCACTCCGTGAACTTCTGGGGGTTGGGGCGTTGGGGGCACCTTCCTTAGAGGCAATGAGAAAACGAAGCATCTTACCATCATCCAAGTAGGTCTGGTCCAAGTTCTGCTCCTGTTTAATTGTCACTCCTGCGGGCAGCACTTCCTTTTGGTCACTGACCGGGGGTCCGTTTTTGGCGGCCCTTTGGCTTGGGGTGTTTTGCTGCTGAATAACTGTGGGGTAGGAGCCCGGGCTTAGCCTCTGACCTTGACTGACCGGAGGCAGGCCAGGCCGGGCAGCTCCAGGCGCAAAATTCTCGCAGTACATGATGTGCTGGAACTCCTGGTGGCTCCCGCAGCGCAGCTGCTGGTTTGTGGGCGAGTAGTGGATGACCGGCGAGGCCTGCTGGTTGGCAGGCGTGGGGTGGAGCAGGGCTGGGTTCTGGCCCTGGGAGCCCGCGTGCACCAGCACGGAGCGGTGGGTGTCCGCAAGGGACAGGGGCGCGGCCATGAGGGCCGGCTGCTGGTAGCCCAGCAGGCTGGGACTCAGGCTCTTGCTCCGCTGGTAGAGGACGGCCGCTGGGTTCTGCTGCTGGTAGCGGGCGTCAGGGGACGGCAGCCCCGAGCGGAACTGCTGGCAGGGAGCCATGGTGGTCACAAGGCAGGAGGGGGACTCGGCCACCATCGGGTGCTGGGGGTAGTAAGGCTGGCTCCCCAGGCCTCCGTGGGCGGGGCTGCAGATCAAAGAGGGGTCATACTCATCGCTGGGCTCCGTCTTGATGGCTGGGACTGCGAGGAGAGAAAAGCACATGGTTGTACCAACCAGAGAGCCGCAGTGCTACAGAGGTTGGCGGGAGCGCGGCTTCGGGAGCCCAGAGGGCTGGGATCAAGTGGTTGGGCTCTGCCACTCATGACGGTTGGCCAAAAGGCTCCCTGTGCAATTGTCTGAAGCTGGAAACTTTACCCTGGCAATGACCAGAATTACAGGTTTTTCCAATACTGGAAAGGTGGCTGGTAGGCTTGACTTAGAAACTGCACAGCCTTATCTCCTGAGATGAAAGCTCAGAGAATACTCAAGACTGCCCCTCCCCTAGCCAGGTGGACGCATGGAATCACAGCACTCGAGGAGGCTGAGGCAGGAGGAGTGGAAGTTCGAGCCCAGCCTGAGCAGCTTAGCAACTTAGTAAGACCCTGTGTCAAAATAACAAAAAATTTTTCTAAAGTGGCTGGGGATGTAGCTCAGTTAAAGGGCCTACATTCAACCTTCAGAATCTCTCTCTCTCTCTTCTCCCGACCCTGGCAGTTCCCGTTTTATCCTCACTTCCCTTCATACTGCCTGTCACCATCTGAAACTCTGTCCCCACCTTCTAGATTGTTTCATTATTGAGCCCCTTCCTTCAGAACACCGGCTCCTTCAAGGGAAGGTTTTTGCTGGTCTTGTTCGGTCCTGGATCCTCTGAGCCCCGCACAGCAGCTGGTACTCAACTGATGCTCAGACTTTTTCGGACAATGGAACAAGCAGATAGCAACTGTCACCGTCTTCTGTTCTGCAGTACTTTGAGCGGAGGAGACCTCCTGGCTCAGGCGTCAGTTTTCCCACCTGTTACCTGGCAGTAACAATCACCCCACCCAGTGAGGGTATCGGGAAGATTAAATAAGACCCATGTGCAGGCCACAGAGCACAGCAACCAGCATACAGTCAGCGCTCAATACTTGCTGTTGCTGCTGTTGTCTTAGTGTCATTACTACTATGACTTGTGCTGCCCACCGCCACCCCTTTCTCCCCATACCCCCAGCACCGATCATCAGAGCTGCACCCCTCGGGCATCTTCGCTAAAGCATCAGCAGGATGGGAGCAGGAAGTGGGTCCCCTTTTCCTCTCCCCAGAGCACATGAACTGTGGTGACCCGACTGCAGCTGGGGTGGGCAGCGCAGCCTCCCCAGTGCCGGGGGTTGGCAGGAGGCAAGTAGGATGGCCTGCCTGACTCCAGCCACCAAAACCGACCATGTCTCAGGATGCCACTGGCGGCCCACATCTCAACCCCTGGCCCGGCGGGGGGCCTGAGGTTCTTGCCTGGGCCCTGTTCAGCTGGGCTTAGGGAGACCTTGTTACTACAGGCGAGAGGATAGCATGCCACAGAACACGATTAAAAACCTCCGCGTTCAAAGGGATCACTGGGCTGCAGTCCAGAGCTGCCCAGCTGGGCTCTCCCATAGTGCTGGGTCCTATGAAGCTGGGGCGGTCTGACCTCTGCTCCCGACAGCTTGGCACGTTATTCCTGGGACAGAGGTATCCTCACAGGGAGCGGCACAAACCTGCTGGGCAGCCCACCGAAGCCAAGCCCATGGAGGCCAGGTGGCCCCCGGGTTTAATGCTTCTGGCTCCCTCCAAGGCTCCAAATGACCCTGCCAGAGGACAAGACTGACGGCCTGGGTGGTACAAGTCCAGGATCACAGGCTTGCATCTTAGAAAGCGGTGGGCAGGTCTTTCTCAGCCTGAGTAGGGGAGGCCATGTCCCAAAGCACAGCCCAGAGAAGCATTTTTAAAAATTAAAATCACAGTTCTCTGGCTCTTCCTGTCCACCCATCATCCAACATATCAATAACATCAACACCATCTACTAGCAGAGGTCCCTCAGTTGGAAGGTCAGTTCCACATGAGCAGGGGAGTTTTATCTGTTTTGTCCGTAGCTGTATTAGCCAAGAATAGTGCCTTGCATCCAAGTATTTTCTGGATGGATGGATGGATGGATGGATGGATGGATGGATGGATGGATGAATAAAAACCCAATCATCACCCTTCTTGAGTGATGCAACTTTGTGAGAAAGAAGCCTCCTGGCCTGGCTATCCACCCGGTAACTCCAGCTGGCCACTGGGTGACCTCAAAGGGAGATCAACTAAAGATTCTACAGGGTTTTTTAGCGTACCCATCTTTGACCTCTAGCATTATCAAATCTAAGGACAGAAGTCATCTGCTTAGCAACCTGCTAATGTACCTATATGTGCCCCATCCCCTACAAAGGGAAAACTAATGACACCTCTAAGCAATATTACCATGCACCGTGCTAAGTATTTTATGTACATTTGATTTGCATAACTCTTGTAAGGAAGGTGCTATCCAATAGATGAGAACGCTGAGACTCAGAGAGGTTGAGTCAACTGCCTCAGACAGCCCAGCTGGGAGTAGAATTTGGAAGTCCTGAGGACCACACCTACACGCCACCTCTCAACCCGCAAGGGACATCGGCAAGGACTCCTTACCTGGTAGGTAGGTAAAGTGCTGAGGCTGACTTCGTTTCCTTTTTCCATTGATGACATAGAAATTCACCTTCACAGAGGTGCGGACGTGCTTGTTCCGATACTCAGGGATCTCAACAAAAAGCATGTTCTGGAAGGAAGGAATTGTCATGAACTTAACGGCAGCGATGCCTGCACTCCTGCCTGACCCTCAGCACAGCCAGCCGGCCCAGCTAAGGACAGGGAGTCGCGGCACATTCCCTGTATTTACAGGCAAAACTTGATTTAAGGGGAGTCTAACTTCTCAGCTGCAGCAAGGCAAGATGCTCTGTGAAAGGATTTCAAGATGCCACAATCACCAAGCAGAAGGCTTGGTACTCCATGAATGTGTAATTCACTTGCCCATGTAATACGCACTTACTGAGTACTGCACTTAGCGTTGGGTCCAGAACAGTAGGGGGGAGGGAAAGAAGGGAGAGGGAGGGGGGACAGAGAGAGGGGGTAAGGGAGGGAGGAGTGCAGACAAAGGAGACCGAGGCAGGGGCTCAAGAGCACACAGCTGACAGTCAACTCTCCCCGGGCTTACAGGCTGGCTCTTGTCTTTATCCACCGTGGCTTCCATCTCCCAGATTTGCTGCCCATCTAGAAAGCAAAAAGGGAGACACCGTGAAGCAGCTCTTAGAAACCAGACAAAAGGCAGGAACTGTGCAGCGTACGCTCATCTCGTTTACCTAGGGCATCATTCTGTGCGGGGTCCGCGTGTACAGAGCGTTATATTTACATTGACACATGTGGGCGCTGCTTTTTCCAAAAGGAAATGATGTTAACGGCACAAAAAGGAGGGATGTAAACAACAGAAAAATAAGAAAAAATAGAATAGAAATCGCTCCAAAGTCACCATCATTCTCTTTTCCTCTGTATCTGAATGTCTAATTCTTTGCTTTGTTTTGTTTTTAAGAAAGTGTCATTATACATTAAGCTTTCCTTAGCCAAAAGCTGTCCTCAAGGCTCTGCATATGCCAAGACTGTCCTGGCGCCTCACTCTGGGGCCCTGACTGTCCCAGACGTGCCTGCTCCTTTGTCTGGGAACGCAGGTGGCTTGGCTGTTCTGTCCTAATCTAGAGGGGAGCTGGTGACCTATGTGGCGTCCAGGCCCACGAGCCACCAGAGGGCACAGAAGCACCGCAGCCCACCCGCCACCTTTCCGGCAGCAGCCGGCCTGCGTCTCCTGTAAGTCCCCCCAACAACCGATGAGATTTTCTCAGCGGCCTATTCTCGTTCCCAGGAGCAGCCCGCTATTTATCCAGTCTGGGGCCAGGAAGTGAGGCCAAACAAAACTCTGCATTCGCAAACTGTTGATTTCTCTCACTGACCACCTACATGGGCTACTGGGCAGTTTTCGGCTGAAACAAATCGTTTCCACAAGGGTTTCCAGGGTGTTTTGTGGAACACTGATTCTGAAGGATATTAAATGGTTTTATGAGAAAGGGGAAAATTCTACAAGCTAGTAAGTGTTTGGAAACTGCGGAGTGAAAGTCACACGGGCTTTGTGACCGCAAGGCTCCTCAGGCGTCGGTGTGCTCACTGCCGAGGGGCCCGTCTTATATAGGTGAGGATGCCGGGCACACAGGAGCAAGCGCACTGGCCAGGTCACACTGCTTGCAGGCGGGGAAGCCAGACTTGAGCCTCGGTAGCTTGGCTTCAGAGCCCGTGTTCCTTATCCCACGACATGGCCCAGGTGGCTCTTCTGCCTGCCAAGTTCATCTTTTCTGGGCTGTAGCCTGAGCAAACAGGTCCTGCAGGCAGCACTTCCTTGGGGTGTCCCTGTGTAAGACAGGGCCAGCTACGCCTGTGGCCGCCCTGAACTCTGCAGGCCTGGGTGGGGAAAGAAGGCTGAGGGGTGCAGGAGAAAACACCTGCCACTCCAGCTTGCTCTCTCAGGTCTTCTGAGACGGGTGACAGTGACAGGGACTATAACCATTCACTGTCTCGGGCATGTTCTACCCCTTCCCCCTCTGCGTCCCCATTTCATTTATTTTGACTTTTTGAGACAGGGTCTCACTTTGTGGTACAGGCTGGCCTTGAGCTCACTGTGTAGCCCAGGTTGGCCTCAAATTCAAGAGGATCCTCCTGCCTCAGCCTCCAGAGTGCTGAGATTACAGGTGTGTGACACCTGGCTACTTGGCCAGTTTATTCCTGTGTACCCCAAACTCTGGAACAGAGAGCTCAGCTTTAAATTCGTGATTGCCTTCAACTAGCTGTGTGACCCTGAATAAGACACTGTAGCTTTCTCTGCCTTTTATCCAAAAATGACGCCTTCCCAGGGTAGATGTGAGGGTAAAATAAGACAACAGGCACACGCACTGTATCGATGCCTGACAGACACCGGCAAGGGCTGTCATTACAGCTAGCAACAACATATTACTTAAATACTGTCTTCTTTACTATCCTTCAGCATATATTCCATCACGTGTTCATGTCGAAAAGACAAGCACTTTTTAATCAGAAACTAATAAATATTCTCTGATTGCAATTACCCATCTTTCTGCCCACAGGTCTGGGCTGGAGGGAATTTACAAAGGGATGACATCTATTATGAGATAGCACTTGGTTTTCTTTGCTTTCAAGGAGCACCATTATCTTTTGAAAGACAGAGAAAACACTCACATGTGCCTTCACGGGAATGAGAGAGGGTATCCACACCACCATAAACCAGGGCTCTGCCTCCTTTCCTATCCCCTCTTGGGGTCAGCAGCTCCCTGGGCAGCCCGAGCACCCGGCCCGGTCTGTGCAGGCTCACACAGGCCCCACGCACACTTCCATCCGCCACAGGAAGTGAAAGCTGACCTCGACCGTCCTCCTTGATTTAGCGTCACACAGCATGGGGAACATACACTCAAGCAGCTGGGCTCTAAGGGAAGTGTGTGGTTTGCAAAAATGTCTCAAAGCCATTGGCCTGGGCTCCTCTCTCCTCCCTTCACCCCGAGCCCACTGGTACACACGTCCTGGGGGTCTGTCACTGGGAAGTCACAGAAGTTCAGCAGATGAGTCACGTTCCCTCCAGGTGGCGGGATTCAAAATGGACACTGGGAAGGTCCCCTCTGCCTGGCGCCGCTCAGCCCATGGTCAAGTCCTGCTGTCCCATGCTCTGCCTGTGTGTCCTCAGAGAAGTAGCTAAACCTCTATGCGCCTCGGTTTCCTCATCAGCAGTACTGTAAAGTTAACACGAACAGTGTGTGTGAAATGCTTAGTCAAAGGCCCAGGCCACTGTTAGTGCTGCCTTCCGTAGGCTCTCGTTCCTGTAGAATGCGGAGTCTCCAGGCCACCCTGGCCCAAGCACCCGGGGGTACTAAGGTTTCTTACTTCTTTGCATTACAGCCCTTGTTACAGGTAAGAAAATGGTTAAGGGAAGCATTCGTGGACAGAGAGCTGGGCGAATTACAGCTGGGAATGCAGATTACCAGTATTTCTGCCCTCAGGTCTGGGCTGGAGGGAAGTTACAAAGGGATAGTATCCATTACAGGATGGCACTCGGTTTCCTTTGCTTTCAAAAAGCACCATGATCTTTTAAAAAACAGAGAAAACATTCACACATGCCTTCACGGGGATGAATACAGATACAGATGCGGATGGTCACAGCAGCTCAGCCCTGAGGGTATACTCGGGCCGGGCATCACCCGCCTCCCAACCCTGTGGCGGGCCTGGGGTCTGGGTAGCCCTGCTTCCAGGAAGTAGCACTGAGGACCAAGGATGCTTCTCCTGCTTGAGGGTGAGCTGAAATGAAGGCCTTTGGTCTCCTGAGCAGATGTCCCGGCAAACTTCCCCTGTCCTAAATTAGCAAGGTCTGGCAGCCAGGATGAAGTCCCTTCCAAGTGTTAGTCAGAGGGGAGGAAAAGGGGGCCACGAGCTTTGAGAGAAGGGGCCCGGCTGGGAGCAGACAGAGCAAGACTAGACTCTGCAAGACAAAACTGGGTGGGGGAGACGGTCAGTCAACACCTCAGCCTGTGCTAACTTCGCCACAGCCACTGACGACGCGAGAAGCAAACCCGGCCGGGATGCGGGGAGGAGCAGCGTGACAGATGGATGGAGGTCCCTGTGACTCAGCTGGTTGTCTCTGCAGGCAGCTCTGGTGTACTAGGAAGGGATGAAACGGAGCACACGGCAAGCAGGAGGGCTGGTCGGGTGGGGCTGCGTCTTCGCAGGCGGCCTGGAGGAGCCAGGCCCGTGTCAGCACTTGCAGGACAAGCAAGGGCGCCTGCCGGAGGAAGGAGGAGCCGCGTCCACACTGGGGCTCTGAGCATGCCGCCAGGCCGGGAACATGGTGCAGAAACGAGTGTCAGATCACGTTAAGAAACTCTGCCTGACACTTCCCAGTCTGGGCTCTGCTTTCAAAGATCAGCTAAATAAAGATGGCTGAAGTCATTTTAATGTGCTCCTCACGGTGGCTAACTAGCAGGGAACCATGCACTCCCTAGAAGCACAGGTTCGAAAAGCCCAGCAGACTTGGGGAATTGGAATGTCCCCTTAGCCTGGGACCTCACCCATCTGAAATGGTAACCCTGCAGGAATGGACAAAAGAGATCCACAGAGGAAGCCACTTCCATCTCTTCTGGAAGGCTCCTCCCTGACCTCTCCACCACCCCGTTTTCCTCGCTGAAAGGACAGGCCATCCAGTCAAATTTGAATTTCGGGGCAATGCCTCTCTCCCGCCCCACCACTGCCTGACCATCCCTGTCTCCCGGGGTGGGGCTCGCTCACCTCCCAGGGCCCACTGCGCACCCCCTGCACCCAGCCCACCCTTCCTGCGACACCAGACCAATCCTAAAATATGAACCAGCTCATGCTGCGCCTCTGCTGAAAGCCTGCAGGACTGCCCGCAGCTTTGGGGAGGAACCGCGTACTCCTCGCCACGCCGGCAGAGCCCTGAGCAGCCAGCCCAGCCCCGCCCCGCACCCTCTCCAGGCTCATGGCCCACGGCTCAGCGGTGGTGCACCAGCTGCCCAGTCTGCTTTCGGTTCCTCCAGTGCCCCAAGCTTGTTCCCATGCTGTGACCTCGGCCTGGGCGGACCCTCCAGCCTACAGTGTTCTTTCTTCAATGGGCCCTGTGGTTCTTCTTTCCTGCTGTAGGGCTCTGCTCAGGGCCATCTCTTCTGGAAGGCTCCTCCCTGACCTCTCCACCACCCCGTTTTCCTCGCTGAAAGGACAGGCCATCCAGTCAAATTTGAATTTCGGGGAACAGTGAACCCCCAGGGATAGACTTAGACTGAAGCGAGGAGCCGCTCTCTGAAGTTCAGACTGCACGGGGTCTCCTATTCTCCGAGGGAGGGCAGGCCCATCATTCTCTGTCTGCCTGCCTGCCTGTCTGTCTGTCTCCTGTGACCTGGGTTCACCACCTGCGCAGCATCTCCCTCATCTGGAGGCGTCCTGCTCACCCATGAGTTTGAGACTGTCTGTAACCTCGTCTGTCATGTGTCCTGGGCCCGGTGCAGTACCGCGCAGGGCAGGTGCTCAGCACACGCCTGAGGACGAACATGGAAGCAGTGAGGTCTGAGTGAGTGGAACGAGGACAAGAGCCCTGGACACCAGGGGCAGCCCGGCTCATGCCGCAGCGGGCTTTCCTCGGCCCGGGGCCACCACCTGCC